TGAGTGTTTACATGCAAAAGGAGTTGATACGGGAAGCTGTTTACATGTAATCCAGTTAGAGAATGCTCTGCGTCCTGTCACGAGCACTTTGTGTCTGTTAGCATGACAAACATCTCAGATGAATGTGAGCGAGTAGCACACCTACCTGTGTACGTTGCAACAACAGAAATTTGATGTTTACATGCACATGTCATGTGATTTCGTGATATGTGCATGTTTTTAGGGGGTATTTTTACAATCGCGCTCTCTTTTGTTACCTAATTTAAACACCATCTCCTTTTACTGCAGGAATGTGCCTTCATTGGGGTCATGTATTCAAAAACACCTTAAATTTGATTATAGATCATAAAATATATTCCTTTTTCTTTGTCTTGTTTTTTTATCATTCTGTAGCTTTCATATCACCTGTTTGTATGTTTTAGTGTCAAAATGCTATTTTCCCAAGGCCCCTATACATATTCCCACGTGACCCGACATGTGTTTCTGCATGATGATATTCTACAGTCTTATGCATCCGTACACAGTCAGTGTGTATTTCCTTCTGTAACTTAGATGGCGGTCGACACGCTCCCAGTTTGGAGAACCAGACATGAGTACTGGTATGGAAGGTAAGCGATGCACTGCTGTGGACACCACTTTAGTTTGCAGACAAAGGTTACACACACACAAACTGACCGATTGATGCAGTGGCAGACCAGCAACTCCTGTGTTCTGCAAGCTGAAATGAATGGAGTCTGGTGGCTTTGAAGAGAGCGATATAACAGCTTCAGATCCCCGTCAGAAAGCCACAGGATTCCATTGACAAAAACAGTAATTTTACCTCTCAGAACACAAGAGTTTACATCCAACCCCTCCTCAAAGAAACCCCAACTAATCCTTTCAGCATAGCTAACATTCACTCACCAGTGCTAGCGTTCACATGATTCATAACGCTATTGATTAGCTTTCTATGGTAACCTACATAACTGCTTTTTGCTAACGGCTGAGAGGGCTTTTCCTTTTGAAAACCCCACAAAAGAACGCAGATGGAGTTCATCTTCAATTATTGTTATGAGTATAAACATCACACATCTGTCAAAATACGTCTTCATTCATACTCAGGGTAACATCGGGTTATGACTGTTGGTAAACTTTTATCTTTGAAAACTTTCAGTTTTCTTTTTGGTCGTCAGATGCAAGTTATGCACCCAAGTAATGTTCATTAACTGTGATCCTGGATGAATGAGGGTGAAATACAGTGCACAAATTGTTTTATTTAATATGGTGCTGCAGCCATAACAATGAGATCTTGATTTTTGGATGCATAAAAATAAAATCTAAAGAAACTTCAAAGGAAAGAAAAATGTATAGTTTGGACACCAGATGTCACATAAAGAGCAAAATATAAAACACAAGACACTGTTGTTTTATGAACCAATTCATTAAATACAAAAATATTTGAATGTGATGCACATTTCCCTGTCAATGCACCTGGACTACAGTAGTTGGTTATCTGAAGAAGAATTCAGAAAACATTTAATTAAACAAGAAACCAATTTCCCAAAAATAGATTGTAAGGTTTAAAGTCTCTCTGTCCACTTCAACACGAGGAATGCCTTCCATTGTCAGAGACAAACTGATGTTGTTTCTGTCTATAACCTACCAGCTTGTCTAGTTCCTCGCCCACATCTGTTGATAAAATCTCATAAATAAAAACTCTATTGTTATTGCAGCAGAAGAAAAACTGTTTTCTTTGGGGTTGTCTGTGCAAATAATTCACTGTGGTGAAACACAAACATCTACCGTCTAAACACTGTAGCACACACAGGTTCTGGCCTCGTACGCTATATCAGGATTTGCATTTGGGTCTCTTTTGTTTCACGGTCTGTAAAGCAGATGTGTCTTTGTCTTTGTCAAAGGCAGATATAAAGCTGTGGCATGTAGCTAAGAAGGTATGGCGTGTCCAGATTTAGGGGTTCAGTTCCCTACGCGTAAGTCGATTACTCAAATACACCAGCGCCCATCCCCGTGTTGATGCCCTCTGGGAACAGGCCTGGTCCTCATTCCTGGTTTGGGAGGCACTGCAGTCAACCATCACAAAAGCTGAGCTGCATCAAACATCCCACTGACACACTGACAAACAAATCTCAGCTCAAAACCAGATGTAGACACCACCGAGGTCCAACATCTCACTGAAGGTTTGATTGAAAGACAGAAATGTCGGTAACCAATCAGCTGGGAGTTGTTGGCCTTTGGGCTACAACGCTGAAGACGGATTTGTCAGCTGCTGTGATATGAAGTAAGACGTAAACACAAAGGGTGATTTCAACAATGACCGTAGCTGTTTGACTAACGTCCTGTCTGGATACTTCTCAACAATGTGAAGGGGAGGATATCCCCTCTCCTCATCCTCTCAGACTCTTTGTTTGCCCCTTTTTGAGTAGCAGGTCGATTCAGTCACCAGTAAAAATGTTTCTGCAAACCACATGTCGACGTTTCTGAGTCGAAAGAATGCGTTTCATAAATACGTTTCCTATCAGCCTCGTATCACTCTTACGCACAATGCCACGTGGTTAACGTTTAAAAAACCATCATGGTTTGTGTTAAAATATGTAAAATGTAACAAGGAAATGAAACAACGCAAGAAAGAAAGAAAGATTTTTCTAAGTACATTTTTAACAAGTCAAACATTTCACTGTCACAGAGTATTCTGGCCAAAGGTGACTGTCCAGCTAAGAGTCAATATCAGACAGGTCTGTTGGTCTGATTGCCTTGAAATGCCTTAGAATGCGTATTACCATTTCAGATAGTGATTATGAGCATGAGCAACAAGAATAGAGCATTTATTAACAACCAAAGAGAAAAACAACCTGAAAAAGGCCACTGACACCTAAAAACCGGCAGTTCTCTGTCGCCTCACTGTGGTTCAAAGCACAAAATACACTCGGATACTTTTCTTTTCCAATCATGTTGAGTTTGTAGCTAAAACAAATATTTTGTCTGATTTTTTAAATCTGTAAAATATAAATTCATCATAATTTATTCAAGGAAGCCATCCTACGGCAAAGGGTCCGCCAATACATCGTGGAGGAAAATGTTTAAAGTCTTCCAAAATGGAGAAACTCGATTTAAATATCAGGACGTGCCGACTTTAGTAAGTAGTTCTTACAGGATGCTTTTTTTAACCGAAACAACAATACAATTGATGCAGTTTGTCAGTAGATTCATAAACAATGATTGAAGGATTTGCATTTGTAATTGACCTGTTTCTGAATGCTCAAAGGCTCAACAGGTGTTTTCTATTTGATTGCTGCACAGGTGTTACTCATAACCATGATGGTGGCTCTGGTCTGTTCAAGTGTCCCAATGCAACTACATGGAATCAAGCCATCATTCTTTTTATTACTTCCTACTTTGACATATCAAAATATATGCATTAAAAAATAGCCTTTTATGACCATATCATTTGTCCTGGCCAAACGGAAGAGTCAGCCATCAATCAAACAGTTAATACGCGCCAACACAGTCCTGAGACTTAAAATCACCACCAGCGTGGATTCAGCATCGCTGTGCAGGGCTCAGATCCAAACATTACACCTCCATGTTGCTGTTGAACACGTGGTAACTAAACCCTGGGCACTGATGTGCTGCTGTTTGCAGGCTCTCCATCAGATTTTGGAACCTGGCTGCAGGGATTGACTCACATTCAGCTATAAGAGCATGAGAGACATCGGCCACTGATGCTGGGGGTTGAAGTCTGGCTCAGTCAGGTTCTGGTTCACAGTGGGTCTCAGAGTGCCATCTAGTCGGCTCTGGAGGTACTGCCAAATGGTTAGATTACATTAAAAATTAAATTATTTGGTCATTTCCAAAGCTACTTATTTCTATTTTTAAGGGTGATCAAAAATGTACATGAATGGAAACCGTTAAATTAAAATGCGTAATTTCAATGACTTGTTACGCAGCTATCACATCATCAGACATTCTGCGCCAGTAAAAGGATCAACCTATCCTAATACAGCTGTTCGTGTGTTAAAAAGTTACCCCTCATTTTACGTGCATTTCGCTACAGAAGCCCAGCAACACGAGTCAACTTGTATTTGTTACATGCGTAAAATAAACGTCTGTTTCACAGGAAACAACTCAGTCAGGTTTAGGCAACAATACTACTTAGATAGGTTTAGGACTAGATTGTGGTTTAGGTTGAAATAAATACAGAAGTGACGTTATTTACGTACAAGTTACGTGACAAATAGATCATCGTTTGAATTCTTGTTTAATACGGCGTCACGAACAGCGGCCTACTTTTTCTCCTTTTTTGTCCTTGCTTTTAGCTTCATGTCTATTCATATTTTCCATATTGGCAATAAAAGCTGATTTTGATATGAGTTTATTTTGACTATTATTTAAACGTTCCTACATGTAGCTGTGTTTGTGGGGTTAATACACAAAACACATAGACAGAGAACCCCTGTGTATCTAAGAGTTAAAGGTGTTAATGTGATTTTCACAGTTCAGTAGTATTCAGACTTGTAGCTCAGGGGTGAATTCTTAATGTCATTGCGCTGTCTCACCATCGGCATATGCCTTGCGCTGGATGATGCGCTTCTCTTCCCAAGCATGACACACTTACTGGGCTGCAGAGCCGAGCCACGGGACAGAGACACGGAGAGGAAGCCGCGAGGACAGAGTCAGACGAAGGGTGACGAGGAGAAGCAGACGAGAGCTCGTGGTGATGCTGATGCTTTAGACAGAGGGCTGTTCGTAGAGAAAGAGGAGAGATAAATCATCGGTTGGAGGACGGTGACAGTGATGATGAAGATGGTGATGATGGTGATGTTGTGAGGACGGGACCGCCCGGTGGAGGAGGCTCGGACGCTCAGTGTTGATCGTCGTGCGGGTAAAATCTCGGGTATCACCGAGAGTTTAACGAAGCGCTATTCTGAGGAGGTGGGCCAAGTCCCGAGAGAGAGAGAGAGAGAGAGAGAGAGAGAGAGAGAGAGA